AGCAGTCTCCATTTTGTTTATTCCCGGCTTGGACTGGACCCTGATGAAGATTTTTCTTTCAACAATGCTAGGACTGGAAGGGACCTTGGAGGTCCCTTTTGCTTGAGCAGACCTTACACCATCCCAAAGAAATGACTGTCCAGTCTCTTGAAAACCTCTAGCGATGGTGCGCCCACCACTCCAACAGGCAAGCTGTTCCATTGATTAATCATTTTCACGGTCAGGAAATTTCTCCTTAGTTCCAGGTTGGCTCTCTCTTTAAGGAGTTTCCATCCATTACTTCTTGTCCTGCCTTCAGGTGCTTTGGAGAATGAAAGTTGCCATGGCTGACAAATGCTGAATGCTACGCCTTGTTTACTCAGGCCCCAATAAGTATTCATAAGTCATACATAAATCAAAGGGGACTGAAGGCTAAAACATACAAAGAATGGTTGCAGTAGTTGGCTATGTCTAGTTAATGACAGTGTGATTTGACAGCAGTGCTCCAATATCTCAGGGGTTGCCACAAAGAAGAGGGGGGGTCAACCCATTCTCCAAAGAACCTGAAGGTAGGACAGGAAGCAACGGATGGAAACTAATCAGGGAGAGAACCAATCTAGAACTAAGGAGAAATTTCAATTAATCAGTGCAACAACTTGCCTCCAGAAGTTGTGGGTGCTCCATCACTGGAGGTTTTTAAGAAGAGATTGGTCAACCATGTGTCAGAAATGGTATAGGGTTTCCTGCCTGGGCAGGGAGTTGGACTAGAAGATCTTCAAGGTCCCTTCCAACTCTGTTATTCTGTTATAATTGCATTTCAATTTATTAGAGTAATCAATTTAAGTAAGTAAATAAGTAACAAGTAAGACAACTTCTGAGCTCCAGATAGCCACCAGTGTATCATTTCAGCCTCTGTCTCCAACTCACTCTGAGACCAGCAGCCAGGTGGGTGTGTAAAAGAGACAATTTCTCTTTAATGACGCTCCAATTCAGGTTTATAATTCTTCCATTCCACTTATGCAATTATTCCATCTAGCCCAGCAGTTTGGCTTCTCCTTTTAAACACTGGAACAATTAGAAGACCAGAAAGCTGGCACACAGATTGAACAATGTAAGGAAGTCAGCAATTGTGTAAATAAAAGGAGGGAATTAAGCAAAGAAGGGAATTAAGCATGAAGAAAGAGTAAGCCGTTTGAAATCTTCTGTTATGTAAACCGAGGTCACTGCATAGCCTTTGGCGACCTTAAATAGGGAGGTTGTAGCCCTCCCCCATCTTTTACCCCTCTCCCCTTTTGTGGACCCTGCATTTTCATAACCTTAGTTCTTTCCCCGCAAAGCAGACAAGCCCCTCTGAATGAAATTTGACCTGTAAGATGGTTTAGTTCTAGACCCCATAAGTAATAACTTTCAAAAAGAGTAAGGCAAGCATTAATCGTTAACGGTAATCACCATCATTCATCCGGCACCTGAATTTCTAATAAAGTTACCTAAAGCAAAGTTGAATGAAGCGTTGCCAACAGAAACACACAAGGCACCACAATGAAAACCCTATGGATCCTTAATGGCCCTACACAAAGTCCTTTTGCCAGTTGGCTGCAGAATAAGCCAAAAGAAAAAGAAAGAAAGAAAGAAAAGGAAAAAAAAAGGAAAGGAAAGGAAAAAAAAAAAGCTGGATGAGAAACAGGGCTGATGCAATCCAGAAAACTACTGGGGAAGCATTTTATTTCTCTATCCTTTACCTGGGAAGAACAGAGCAGAGCAGAACAGAATAACAGAGCTGGAAGGGACCTTGGAGGTCTTCTAGTCCAACCCCCTGCTCAAGCAGGAATCCCTATACCATTTCAGCCCAACGATTGTCCAATCTCTTCTTAAAAACCTCCAGTGATGGAGACACCTGCAGCTTCTGGAGACAACTTGTTCTACTGGCTAATTGTTTTAACTATCGGGAACTTTCTCCTTCAGTCCCCTTTGAGTCAACCGATGCTGTCCTGAGTAGGTATGACTTGGACTGTACTCTTCCATGCCGCAAACTACAGGGAGCCCTCAACGTACCACCCCAATCGACCCCGACAGTTTCGTTGCTAAGTGTGTTTTTGCCCCATTTTATGACCTGTCTGGCCACAAGCGTTGGCTAAGCAGCATGGAAGCTGTAGTGCAGCAAGGGCTTGGGCCAGATAGCTAGGAACCAGCTACTCTCACTTGCTTTCTTCTGCAGGATTTCAAAGGCTTCCTCCCCAGGGAGCTTGTTAGAAGAAGCTTTCCACTCTGAACTGGCACCTTGTCAGAAGCCAGAAGGGCTTTGCATCATGCTCTGAATCTCCCTTGTTGGCAAATGTTGACTAGAGGGAAACAGGAGGTGTGGAGAAGCAGAGCAACGGGTAATAACATGTCAGCCAGTGGCGGGTGGCACCAACGGATTGCCAACAAACCCACCCCCTTTAGCCTAGTTGCAGGGGTAGGCAACCTTGGCTCTTTTATGACTCGTGGACTTCAATTCCCAGAATTCCTGAGCCAGCCTGGCTGGCTCAGGAATTCTGGGAGTTGAAGTCCACGAGTCATAAAAGAGCCAAGGTTGCCTACCCCTGGCCTAGTGGGTTGTGTGAATCCAACCCCTCGGCTCCCTTTTACGGTTCAGAGATTTTGCCCGAAGGAGTTGGCATTCAAAAACCTGAGTTGAATAAACCATAGTTTTCCTGGTGTGCCCACAGCTAAGGAACCATTGGGCGTGGGCTTACTGGTTGCCGGGCTTAGGATGCTGTGTGTAGCCAGCTGTTGTAAATCTTGGGTTGTGGATGAGTGGGTTGTGTGAACTCACCCAAGGATGGTTTGGGAAACCATGGTTAAGCAGTCTGGGGAGCAAATTTTGAGACCTATTTGCTTTCTTTGGAAAGGTTAGAGAGTATAAAATGTTCCCTTCCTTGTAAAGTCCTACTTATTGTTTGGGATTTAATTTTGAGTTGATAGGTCCACGCTAAGCCAGGTTTGTTGATTTAGCTGAAATCTAAACAGAAATAATTAGCTGATGTATTAAACAGAGGCAAGACAAATTCAGCAATGGGCAGAGGAGGATTATCGTATTTTTCCTTTCTCTTAAGAATGGAAGTGGAGAGAGACAAGGATCTATTCATCCTTGTCAAGCATATACATTTTAATTTATGATATGATTTGCACCATGGCTTGATCTCTGAATTAGGCTTTGAAATTTCTCCTTAAAACATTTGCACGAGTCGCCAGGCCAAAAGAGGTTTGGCCGGTGTCTTGTGCACCGGGCAAGTCTACAATTCCTGGTGTCCTGCAAATCCAACTCCTGGATTTCATTTAACCACACTTAAATAAGGGGGGCGTGCATTGGATCAAACAGCTATAATTTGTGGCTAGAATAGCCCAGGATCTTGCAGCGAGTCAAGTGGCAACTTTAAAACCATCCTGGCTTTGACATTTCGCCTGATCTGGTTCTGTCTAATCCATCCAAACCCTTCCATCGTGGTTTTAGCCGCCTTCTCCTTATAGGCCTCGGGGATGGGGCAAAATTCTTGAATGGTGGACCTTCTACTTTGGCTGAATGAGTAGAACCAGCACCCCTTGTCTTTGGTCCAACTGAAATGGATCTCCTTCAGATGTTCCAGGGAAACCAAAAAAGGGGCATTGAATCTGACCACTACTTTGGGACCAGCAGTGGACCCACTTGCCACTCACAGAAGTTTCCCACCACCCGGCGTGTCCAGGGTTGGTGCATCCCATCCATTCAGCATTGAATGGATGGGCCTTGTGATACAATTCATAATCCCAGGTTTGCTTCTCTCCTCCATTAGTTTCCATCCATTGTTTCTTGTCCTGCCCTCGGGTGCTTTGGAAAAAGAAGTGGACCCCTTCCCCCCCCTCTTCTAGGCACTTTTCCCAAAGCCTCAACCTCTCTCTCTCTCTCTTTTTGTAATTCAACAGTGTCTCACAACTGTTTTGTAAATGGACGCCCTCAATAAATGGACACCCTCTTCAGGCTGATCTCCGGGTCTACCAGACACTCCCGCTGTGGACTCGGGCCCCGTGCACGCCCACGCACCCCCCCCCCCCGGATCATTCTTTCTCCCTAACATCTGGACGGCCTGCAGAGGAGGGCATTTCTGCCCCCCCTCCCCCACGCACCNCCCCCCCCCCCCCCCCCCGTCTTTGCGCTTTACAGAATTCAACTGAAAAGTGCCTCGGCGGGCGTCGGGGTGGGGAGGGGGCTCCCTTCGAAAGAAGTCCCTCGGCGCAGAGGGAGGAGGGCGTCCTTCCCGCGTGGCAGCGTGGAGACCCTTCCTTCGGGAGCCAGCCTCGCGATCCGCAGCGACCCCCTGGCATTGCAAGAGGTGGGAAGTGGGTGGAAGGGGGGGGGAAGGGCTTCTTGCCTCGGAGGACAGGCTGACCTGTCAAGGCTGTTGTGCAAGGGAGGGAGGGAGGGAGGGGGGGGGAGACCCGCCCGGAAGGCACGTCGAGCCAGGGCGAGGAGGAGGAGGAGGAAGAGCAGGCGCGGCTTCCCCCCGACGAGCCCCCACGGAGAGCGCAAACTTCTGGCCGAGGTCTGGCCGCGGGGTTTCCATTGGCTGGGCGCGCCCGGGTCCCGGCTCCTCCTCTCCCCCCCCCCGTTCCCTGGGCGCCTTCCTCCTCCTCCTCCTCCTCCTCCTCCTCCTTCTCCTCCCCCTCCCTCGACTCGCGAATTGCGATTGCGGGGAGGGACCGGCGAGAGAAGAGGAGCGGCCGCGCCAGCGCCGCCACTCCGGATCAAGCTGGCGGGACTTGCCGGGCGCACGGAGAGCGGAGCCTGCTGCTGCTGCTGAACCGGAGCGCCAGATCCTAGTGGAAAGCGGAGCGACTCCGGATCAAGGGCCAGACGGAGCTCGGACTCGGGAAGGAAGGAAGGAAGGAAGGAAGGAAAGGGGCGAGCGCGCCCGAGACCCCTCCCAAGACCGGCGCGCCGTCTTTTGCAAACTCTCCACCCGGGCAAAGAAGCTCCGTCCGGGAAGAAGATGCGGCGGCGGCGAGGGCTGCGGGAGCCGGAGGTGAGAGGAGAGGAGAGGAGAGAGGAGGAGGGGGCACTACACCTCCCATCGGGCGCAGCCGGGCTGCCTCCACCGGGTGGGGGTGGTGGGGGGGGGGCGCCCGCCCAGAAAGGCTGTTGGGCATCATCCGGGGCGCCTGGAAGGCTTCGCACGTGACGGGCAAGGAGGGAAGAAAGTGAGAGGCGTGTTTACACGGAAGTAAGGCTTGCGGGGTGTCGCTCCCCCCCCATCCCGGCCAGTGGAAAGCCTGGGATCTGTTATTGTTGTTGTTGTTGTTGTTGTTGTTGTTGTTATGAATCGCGGTTCTGATTTGCGGCGCCGGCTGCTTCGGAGAGCCGAGGAAACTTCAGGCAAGCTCTCCGGTGGAATTCCTACTCTCGAGTAAATTTGCAGGGGTTGAGCCCTCCCCCTCCCTGTTCCCCCCCCTTCCCCAAAAGCGCGACCTCCGCCAGCTCGGCTGGACTTCGGTTCCCATCCTCCCCTGCCCGTGCCTCTTCTTGGTGGGGAAGGAGGTGTGCGCTGCCCAGGCCTGTGTCGAAAGAGACGGGGCTTGATATGCTCTCTGGTTGCATCATGTTCTTGGAGGGGGGGGCAGGTATCCAAGAACATCCAGGTGTTCTTCTTTCTTCAGGGAGGGGGGCTGTCGTTGGGTGGTGGCTGGCACCCAGTGTCTTTTCCCAGATAAACAGATGTGTTTTTTTTTTTAAAAAAAAAGAAGACGGGGAGAAAAAAATCCTGTTTATTCTATGAATGGTGGGATTGGAAGGCAGCCAAAGGACTGAAGGGTTTTTTGGGGGGTGGGTGGGTGTTGTACACCCAGAAACATGTTCTCCAGCTGCCCCCTTCCTCCTCCACGCTGGGCACTACTGCCCGCCTTTAAACCAAGATCCACTTGAAAGGAGCTGCCGAGATAGGGAGTGCCAAAGAAAGAAGAAGAAGAAGAAGAAAAGGTTTTTTCTTCCAGAATCCGGCTACGCTCAAATTGGATGCCAACCTCTCTCTGGCTTGCAAAGCACTTTGTACATGCTCGCAGGAGCCCTGTTAAAAGTCAGGCTTGCTTGGTTTTTTGTTTTCAACAAAAATGGTGACACCAAGTTTCTGAAGTAACAACAAAACAAAACAAAAAAAAAACCAAACAACCAGGGGAGTTTTTTGAAGCAAACTGAATTCACGTTATGCCATTTTTTACGTGGCTGGGTTTGGTTGCCTGTTTGTGACACAGAGGCTGTTTTTCTCCTGCTGTTGAAATGAGTTGTTTGAGATTTCCTTTTTTTTTCATGCGTTCCCTGAGATCATTTGTTACGGGTTGGAGGGCTACAAAAAAGGGGCCTTGAGCCATTTAGGGATTGCCAGCGGTGGGGATGTGTACATGTGTGTATTTGCACACGCACGACAGCATGCTTAGTTAAGGCTTCTCTGCCTATGCATGGCCTGCCGTGCTTTTAAAAGGAGACATTTTGCCTCCTGGAGAGATGTGGGCAGTGGTTGAGCTGTGAAAGCAAATGTTTGCGGTAACTATAGCGCTTGGGTACACAGAGGTGTTGTGTGTGCGTGGAGGCTGTAGGAAATGCCACTGCTGCGAGTTAGTGAGTGCTGATTGGATGGCTGGCACATGTTTGGTGCTGATTGGTTTGAGTTGCTCTGCAAAATCCAATCCTATAAAGCAGGGGTGTCCAACCGTGGCAACTTTAAGACTTGTGGACCTCAACTCCCAGAGTCCCCCAGCCCACAAGTCTTAAAGTTGCCAGGGTTAGACACGTCTGCTATTAAAGAGTCGAGAAACGTGGCTTGTTGTCGCCCTTCCAATCCCTGTTCAGGTTGCGTCTGTTTTTTTTCTTTTTAATGCATCTGGGACGTGTATCCATGGGCTACCTTGTGCGTATTTTCTTATGAGTAGACCTGCCTGAAACCTTAGTAGAGTGATATTTAGAGTCTGGGGGGAAAATAGCCAGGAATAATATTTTTGGGATGAAAATTGGTCCTGTCTTCCCGTTAAGACTCTGGTGGCATTTTTAGCGCCCCTATTTAAGTTGGGAAGAGATGGCAAAAGTTACATATTTACTCCTTGCTGTTTGTTTATTTTTTCATTTTTTTTTGTTTGAGTCTTTTGCGGGTCTGTGGTTTTTATATATAGTATACAAGCCACGCACAACGCGTATGCGCGAAACTTTAAGATCTACCTAGAAAACCTGTCGAAAGAAAAAAAAACACCAATGTGCGAAGAAGTAACATTTCTACATACTGAAGTTTGAGTGAATATATGATATATTAAGTGATTTTTAGCTGCAAAGGATCTCCAGGTTTTATGCAATGCGCAGGCCTCGTTTCCTGTTGAAAGAGGAGAAAAAAAAAATGGAGAGAAAACAGGAATCGGCTCATTTGGTTTAAGTCCAGGGAGTCCTTGAGTTCTAACCGTTCGATTTCGCGGCCATTCAAAAATTAGCATCAGCAATATCTCCAGGGTCAACATTTGACCAAAACTGAGGCAATTCCAACAGGGGTGTGTTTATGACCGTTGCGGAGTCCTGAGGCCAAAAGTGACTTGTCATTTGCAACCTTTCCCCAGCAGGCTTTTGACAAGAACAGTTAATAGGGGAAACCCAATGATACGTGATTCCCTTAACAATTGCAGTGATTCGTTTAACAACCGTGGTCGTAATATCAAGGGCGGCTCGCTTAGCAACAGAAAATTGGGTCCCCGTTGCCGTAAGTTGAGACTACCTGCCTTGAAATTAAACAAGGAAGGATTTGTAGAGCAAGGAACAGCAGCCACCCACACAGTTTCCATTTGTATTTTCCCAGGATCTTCTGGTACTAGGTCAGAAAAACCAGATTTGAAAACTCCCGAAGTCTTAAGATGTCAAAGTCATAAATTCCTTGCAAGAGACCTCTGGAAAGTGAGGCAATGTTGTTTAAAAAAAAAAAAAAGATTGAACACAAGGCACCCTCAACATGTCAGAATGTGGGAGTCTGCCTTTGCCAACATTAATCTCTCCCAGGAATGTATTTTGGGGGAATATTTTCCTTCTATGTGTGCGATAAATTTAAATTAAGGATCAGTGAAAAGACTAAACAGACAGCAATAATGCCATTTTTATAAAAAGGAAGTGGTGAGATCTAAATAAATGAGAATATGACCTGTCAAAACCTACCAGAGGTAAAGGAAGACTATAATATATCTTATGCTTAGGAAAAAAAAAAAAACCACATATGTATAGGAAAGATAAAATGCCTATTTAAGAAAACATCTGGTTTAACTCCAGATAAAGAGACATCTGTTTTAACTATGACTCTGGAGACAACTGTTTTCACTCTAGATAAGGCAATGTTTGTTTGCAATAAGCTAATACATTCCTTTCTATGGCTCATGACGGGCTAAATTTTTAATTTCAAAAAAAAAAAAGAGAGAGAGAGGAAGATGCGCTACCTAAGAGAACAATTTAAAAATACATTTGGCGTGTCTAACACTCCAGGGAATCGAGGCCTCAGGGCAATTACCTAGATGCTGCACTTTAAAAATGCCAACGAAGTTCCCATAAGTTACCTAACAGCCACATGGGGAAATAAGGAGGAGAACCATGTTAGGCTGGGATAGCCAAATTCAGAATTCGGTAGCCTCTTTTCAGACCGAGAAGAGGTTCTACTAACAATCACAATAACCAGCATATTGTTAAGGACGAAAAATGCAGTCTCGGTGCGTTTATGAGGGAAAACAAAAATCCAAGTTTATTATGTTTCCATCTGCTACTCGGTTATGAGTCGATTAAAATTAGCCGTAAAAGCAATAAAATACGGTTAGCATATTGAAAAAGAGGTTCAATAACAGCTAAGGATGAAATATTGTGTGAGTCACCAATTCTCAGTTAGGGGCCCCGGGATATTTTAGGGGGCCTCGGGTGAAAGATGCACATGGGGATGTTACTGCAGTGCCAGTGTGCCCCCAGAAAAACAAAGTGTACTCTTTATTTATTTTATCTATTTATTTTTATTCGCATTGTACCTTTATTATTTTTACAAATAATTCAAGGCGGAAAACATATCCAATATATTTCCCTCCTATTTTCCCCACAACAACAACCCTTTGGGCTGGGCTGGGCTGGGCCGGGCTGGGCTGGGCTGGGCTGGGAGAGAGACAGAGAGAGATTGGTTCAAAGTCACCCAAGTGGGACTAGAACTCAGCGTCTCCTAGTGATTGGTCCTGAGTTCCCCAGTCGTCTTTCATAATTAAAGCAGGACTAGAACTCACCGTCTCCTGGTGATTGGCCCAGAGTTCCCTAGCCACCTTTCATAATTAAAGCAGGACTAGAACTCACCGTCTCCTGGTGATTGGCCCAGAATTCCCCAGTCGTCTTTCATAATTGAAGCAGGACTAGAACTGACCGTCTCTGGGGAATTGGCCCAAAGTGACCCAGCTAGCTTTCATGTCTCAGGCAGAATTAGAATTCACAGTCTCCCAGTTTCTAGCCTGATACCTTACCCAGTGAACCAAACTGGCTTTACATATACTGTTTTGTTGACAATCGGGAACACACTAGTTGCTATCTGTATCCAGGACAGGGGGGGAGAAAAATAAGGCGAGAAGGGGGCCAAAGGTGAAAATAGGTGGTGTAAATAATGATGTTGGTTGTAAGCTGATACTAGTGTAAATGATGTTGGTTGTATCCTGATATTCCTATAACAGCAGTTGTATCTTTCGATAATTCTTAACCTTCCTGATTGCATGTAGTGGAATATCTCTCACCGTTCATAGACAGTTCTCTTTTCCAAGGATTTTCGAAATCTTTTTTGTAAGTTCTCTCTCTCTCTCTCTCTCTCTCTCTCTCTCTCTCTCTCTCTCTCTCTCTCTCTCTCTCTCTCTCTCTCTCTCTCCTTCTCCTTCTCTTTCCTCCTCTCCCACTCTGTTTCTCTCTCTCTCTCTCTCTCTCTCTCTCTCTCCTTCTCTCCCCTGTCCCCCCCCTCTCCCTCTTCCCCCTCTCCCACTCCATCTCTCTGTCTCTCTCTCCCCTCTCCCTTCTCTTTTCCCACCCTCTCTCCCACTCTGTTTCTCTCTCCCTCTCTCCCCTCTTCCCCCTCTCCCACTCCATCTCTCTGTCTCTCTCTCCCCTCTCCTGCTCCCTCTCTGTCTCTTTCCCTCTCTGTCTCTTTCTCTCCCGCTCCCTCTTCCTCTGCCCCCCTCCCTCCATATGTGTGTTTGTAATCACTTAGCAAACAGCATTGATCATAAAAGCTGGTTACAACATTCCTACTCTCCTAAAACCCGGTCAAGGCCATGCTGTTGGAAAGCCTTAACCATTGTGTTTTCTTTGACTCAACATTCCTGGCTCACTTTGGCACACGTAATGGTGACCTGTTTTTGGACTGGCAAACATCCTGGAAAGACAGCCACGAATCACATCTATATTTTGCCCCAGAGATTGTCTGGGGCAAATTATCCATGAAAAGAACTGTGTGGTCCTTGTCCCAGAAGGGCTTTTCCAAAAGGCAACTGGACTTTCCTTGAAAACATTTCGCTTCTCACGCAAGAAGCTTCTTCAGTTCTTCACTGAACCGAAGAAGCCTCTTGGATGAGAAGCGAAACGTCAAGGAAAAAGACAGGAAGTCCAGTTGCCTTTTGAAAAAGCACCTTTGGGACCACCGTGACTGACCGTCTCCACGGACATGTGGGGTCCCTGGTGCTGTTTGAGTTTGGTTGTTTGCTTGCAGACATTTCTTGACCCAACTAGGGAATATCATCAATGCTAGAAGCTTTACTCTCTTGTTTATATACAAGTGGTTTGCTCTGCCGGTGTTGGTGGGAGCATTCTTGGTATTCAAAAGCCGAGAGCAAAGTTTGTAAGGACTTAGGTAGAGCCCAACGTGATGAGAATAGTTTATGACCGTGTTTTGCAACTTTAAAATGTGTAGACTTCAACTCCCAGAATTCCCCAGCCAACATGCTCTATGGCTGGACAGCTTTCTGTTTTCCCTATAAGTAGCAGCTCTGACTTGTGTGTGAATCTGGGCCAGATTGTGACCTAAAAGGGCATTTAACCCTTCCCTCGCTGCTCAGGCGGAATATCTGACCTTCCAGATGTTGTCACACTACACTTCCCAGCAACCCCAACCCTCATCGCCGATAGTGAGGGATCTTGGGAATTGTAGTTCATTAGCTTCTCAATCTTTCCCATCCCTGGGGCAAGGAAGGAGCTGGAGACATCTAAAAACTCAGCCAGGGGATCTCTATAACTTCATTCAGCAGGAATAAATCTATTTATGGAGGTATAGATAGCAAACTAGAAAGAGTGCAGAGAAGAGCAACCAAGATGATCAGGGGACTGGAGGCTAAAGCATATAAGGAACGGCAGCTGGAATTGGGTATGTCTTGTTTAACAAAGAGAAGGACAAGGGGGGACATGATAGCAGTGTTCCAATATCTCAGGGGCTGCCCCAAAGAAGAGGGAGTCAAGCTATTCTCCAAGGCGCCTGAAGGCAGGACAAGAAGCAATGGGTGGAAACTAATCAAGAAGAGAAGCAACCTAGAACTAAGGAGAAACTTCCTGACAGTTAGAACAATTAACCAGTGGAACAACCTGCCTCCAGAAGCTGTGAATGCTCCAACACTGGGAGTTTTTAAGAAGAGACTGGACAGCCATTTGTCCGAAATGGTATAGGGTTTCGTGCCTGAGCAGAGGGTTGGACTAGATGACCTCCAAGGTCCCTTCCAACTTTATTATTATTATTATTATTATTATTATTATTATTATTATTATTATTATTATTATTATTATTATTATTATTATTATTATTATTATTATTATTATTATTATTATTATTAACTCTCCTTCTGCTCAGGCCAGGAATCCAAGCAGGATTTCCTGGGAGAACTTGGGGTGGGATGGTAGAAGGACGTATTTGCAGAGATCCGGCCTAACATTTCGTGGCTCAGCGGAGAAGCTCCTTTGTAACATGTGACTCATAACCTCTTCTCTCCCTTTCTTCTGACTTGGCAGTTTCTAAGAAGCCAAGAAACCAAAATATCTTCATTACTAAGCATTTTGAAGACTTTCCAAGAAGTCCCGTGCTGAGCTGGGGGGTGCGTGGGCCTGTTTCTTTGGCTAGACTCGGTACGGATTTTCTGATTTCTTAAGTTAAGGCACGCCACCGTGTAGCGGGGAACGCTGTGAGGACGGTTAATTTTGGCCATAAAGATAGTCCTCCACTTACAACAGTTCACTTAGTGACCGTTTGAAGGTACAACGGCACTGACAAAAGTGACTTATGACCATCCCCATGGTCCTGTGATCAAAATTAGGACGCTTGGCAACTGACTTGTACTTATGACGGTTGGGTCACGTGATCCTCTTTTGTCACTTTCCGACAAGCAAAGTCCACGGGGGAAGCCGGATTCACTTAACAACCCGGTTACTAACTTAACAACTGTAGTGATTCGCGTAACAACTGGGGCAAGAAATGTCGTAACATGGGACAAAATTCACTTAAATAACAAATATTTTGGATTCAATTGTGGTTGTACGTTGAGGACTAGCTGTAGCCTGTAGAATCGAAGTGTTGTTCTGCCGAATTCTCCATGGAGTGTAAGCTGCTCTCTGCTACTCTTCCCCTTTTATGTAATTCTTCCTCCCCAGAGGGAAACGGAAGGAGGGTTGTAACTGAGGAAACCCATATTGTGCTATCTGTTTTAGCCATCTGGATGGAAGACCACCAGGAAACTCCCGTTTCCTGTAGGCTATTCAGAGAATGTTTTTAAAAAATAAAATCTTTTTTTTTTTTGAGAAAATGTTATTGATTTTCTAATTTTACATTTAAATATTTGAAAAGCAACGTGGCGGCTGAGTTGGTCAATAATTCAGTAACAGATATCTTTAGTACAGATCTCAAACTATTACATTAAATATTTCCTCTTTTTTCCCCTGGGTATTTACTGTCTCATATTTAAATTAATACAATTCTTATTCTATCGATTAAATAAAAATAACTTTCTTATCTTTATCAATAATTTTTGTTTATACATATCCTAGTTGTTTTAACATTCAACCTTTTTAGACAATCAATGTCCTGGTTCGTTTCCCCCAATTTTTAGTTTCCCATTAATATTTAAACTTAACGTTTAATATTTATAATTTCCAAGTTTTAAATAACCCCAATTCTCTTTATCACAATTCATCACAAGATCTAATGTTCAGGATACACGTCTTATCTATTTGAATTCTCACCATCTTATTTTCAACCAATTAATAATACAATATCATATTCTTATTTTCTGGTCATTTCCAAATATCTTAAATTTAGTAACCAAAATTTCTCTTATTTCAACATTTAATACTTACACACGGTGAATGCTTTGGCATTCTTGCCAAGAAAACTGGGTGGAGTCTATCCAAGCATCATCCAAAGTTGAGCATTGTTCCAAGGATGAACATTATCCTTTCCTCCAGTGCTTTGGACTTCAATTCCCATCTGCCTCAGCCAGAGTGGCTGAGGGGTTTTGGATTACCTTGCCTGTGTTGTATGCAGTCTGGGACAGGGGTGTCAAACTCAATTTCATTGAGGGCTGCATCAGCATTGTGGTTGCCCTCGGGAGGCCGGGTGGGTGTGGCCAGGGTGGGTGTGGCCTACTGGGTGAGCGTGGATGGAGTGGGTGTGGCCTACTGGGTGGGCGTGGCCAGCTCTACATCGTTCGCGTCAAGGGTGCCTGTGGGGGCCTGGGCAGGAGTGGGACAGATCTGAGGGTCTCTGGCAGAAGGGGGTGGGACCGGGGCAAGCGCCAAGGCATGGTCCATTTCTTTATTCCTCACAATGGGTGACCCCTCCCCAGCATGGACCCGGGGGGTGGCAACACAGCAGGGGCTGGTTCCTCGCTGTTTCCAGACGGTCTTGTGGAGCTAAGACCGAATGCGTTTCGGCATAAATGGCCACCACAAAATTGTACATTGGCTCCCGGCCGGCCTGGGTTAGGGCCAAGGCAGCGGGGGCCGTTCCCTCACTGTTTCCAGGATGGCTTCATGGGCCACATGAAACCACTTCGCGGGCCACATCCGGCCCCCGGGCCTTGTGTTTGACATGTCTGGTCTGGGAGATTGGAAAATAAATTCTCCCTTGCTTTTGGGGTGGTGGCCAAGAGCCCAAAAGGCAATCGTGTGTATGTGTGTGTTTGCAGGTATTGTAACATTGAAAAATGGGCCATAAGTAGCTTTTAGGGGTCTGTCATAAGTTCAAAGAGGGAAAAAAAATTGAAAACAAAGTATGATATTGAATGAAGGTGAATATATATGTCCCAGGATAATGTTGCGGGATCCAGTCTGGATCAGTCACCAGGACCAGAGGTTTAGCCCATCCTCAGGCAACTACTCTCTCACCAGAATGTACGCTTTGGGCTACTCTATGCATAATATTTATGTGGTGCCTGGTTGCAGGCACCACGTTGTAATGAACAAGGACATACATTCAGTTTCGCAGCTACTAAGATTGTTGGCCGAGTAGGTACAAAAACAGCCAGGGAAATGATTGAAGCTTGGGAAACAGCGGCCTCATCAATCCATAAGAGTGCTGATTTACCACCAGCTTATCAGGTACTTAGGAGCTAAGGACTTGGCAGCACAAGCCAATGATGTAATAGCCGGCCCCATCAATACCTAAAAGCCACACACAATCAGGCACCACATAAATACTATGTATATAGAATAGCTCAAACCACACATTGTGGCAGAGAGAAGTCCCCTGAGGATGAGCTCCAGCAGGAGTCCTAAAGCTTGGAAGATGAAATTTCTGGTCCTGGTGACCCACCCAGATTGGATCCTGCAAAGTATGAGATATTGTTATAACAATTAACTTGGGAAGTTGTGAAGGCTGATTTTTTCCCCCCTTGTCTTGTGTTTCAGAACAACCCAAGTGACTGCTCCATTTCCTAGCCCAGCCCGTTCGCCAGAGAGCATCTACCAATGGCGGAGAAGCGGGTCCTGGAGGCAGTGAGCGCCATGAGTTACAGCAAGCTCCCTCGACTGGAGGTGGACCCAACCCACGTCCTCCCGGTGGGTTTCTGCCGGTCCAGCGGGCTGCCCGACCTCCCCATGGATGACCATTACAGTTACAAAGGCTCCTACTTTACTTTCCCACTCCAGTGCCACGAAGCGCCCAAAACTTTATCTCACTGGTCGGCTGCCGAGACCTACAGCCATTGCCCGGCAGGTGCGCCTGGCCAGTCTCCAAGGACAGAGAAAGCTAACTACCAGCCCGAAATAGAGAGTTTGAAATCGCGTCAGAGACTTCCGGGTTCTGAAAAGGTCAACGAATGTATCAACCGAGAGCGGTGGGCCAGCTATGTGGGTCACACAGGGGTGATCCAGCAAGGTTGGATTCAGGGGTACCCAACCCAGCAGCTCTCTCCAGCTCCTGCAGCTTGCTCCACTTTGGCAGCCCCCAAACCGGTTTACCGAAGCCACCCATACGGGGCAGAATCGGGCTACTCCCCCAAAGGGGCTCTGACCTTCCGAATGCAGATGGAGAACTTCTCCAAGCGTCTGGAATGGTCTTCCCCGTCCTCGGTTTTGCCCACTGGTGCCGAGAGTCGCGGTTACAGCACAGGGGGGTCCAAGAAAACCTCGATGGCGGAGAATGGCATGGTGCAGTTTCGGCAAAGGTCCAAAGAGAGCGCTGTTCACTCGGCTGCCTTCTTGCCTTACCATAAGACATTGGAGAAATGCCAGAGGGCACAGAATGGCTCTTCCTTGGATGCCAGCTATCCCTCTGTAAGTCAGAAAAGCATCTCCGAGTCCCCAGCGGATAGCAATTCCAGCAAACACATGTGGTCCAGGCTGCCACCACCACCTCCTCCTCCTCCTCCTTCCAGCTTACTGGTGAGTCCCCAGGACCTGGCATACCAGGAGCAATCACCCTCATGCTACCCTCTGGGATCGTATCCCCTCACTTCTCATGAACAAATGTTGTTGTATCACCAGAGCTACGTGCAAGCCGAAAAAACAAACTCGGTTTTTGCTTTGGCGGCCTGCAAAGGTTTTGGGTCTCCAAGCCGTGAAGATGGCCAACTGTTCCCCGGGTCATATTTTCAGCAAACCTCTCGCAGCTATTATCCTGGCCATCTGGAGAGCTACCTTTACCAGGCTGTGGGCCCGCCTCCAATGGCCCCCTCTGAAGAGCTTCGCTCTTCAAGGGAACATGAGCACCCACAGAACTCAACGACCAAGGTGGACTGTGCTCCAAAGACTCCTGTCCCTGCCTGTGCTTTGTCTAAAGAGGCTCCCCCAGCTTGTAGTCATTGGCGCAGCCGAGGTGATCTCCCAGACTGGTGTGAGAGTAGCCGTGTTGCAAGAGAAGCCAGCACAAATTCTTCTGGTCTACAAGCTTTCCCTTCCATTCATCAAGTAGACCGGCTGTCTCATTGTTACGACAGGGTTGGAAAGATGGAGGGAAATGGTTGCAAGAAGGATCTTTGCCCACCAGAAAAGCTGAATGAGAAGGAGGAGGAATCTTCTGAGAAACATCACAAGGTCTCCTTAACTTATGAATCTAGGAAGAGGAGCATCACCACTCACAAAAATGAATTGGGAGGCTGCATAATTATTTCTGATAGTCCCATTATCTCCCACCATCCCTACTGCAAACCATCCCTGCCCAAAAATGTTCTGAAGGCTCCCAACATCCAATCTATACCTCATGTACATTGGTCCCCAGAGCGTCAACCAAAGGGACTCCATGAACAGCATGAAGGTCCCTCAACTTCTTCTCCTCCTATGCCTGTTATCAACAACGTCTTCAGCTTAGCTCCATACCAAGCATACTTAGATGGTTCCACCGATTTGGTGGAACTGGACACCACTAAAAGTTGTCAAGCTGAGGAGTTGCCTCCCAAAAACAGAGACAAGAGTGTGGAAAATGGATTTGTGCCTTGGACAGGCTCTAAAAGATCGACTGAAGAATCTAAGGTGGATCTGCCTAGGGAGGAAGGAAGCACTTGCAACACAATATCGAAAGTTGGAGATGCTGACTTGAATAAAAATAATCTCCCAGTAGGACAAGGGGTTGGAGATTATGCTGGGCCTGGGCAAAGCTTCAAGGTCAAGCTTTTGAATCCAACTGATCTTGGGTCTTGCCAAACAGCCCCTGCCAATCGTTCCAATGGTAGAGTTGAGAGACTTACTCATGAAGACCATGTGTTGGACCTCAGCTTTAAAACGGAAGACTTGGCAGAGAGACCTGATCTTCAGCAGCTGCCCAAGAAAGTTGAGGCTCCAGACAGTGGAGGTCCAAAGATCAAAGGTCAAGAAGTGAAGGGAAAAGCAGCCAGCAGCCAGGGCTCTGTCTCCCAGACAAACGGAGAGGCCTTGGTGCTGCCCGCCAACGGTGATTCTAGAAGTAACAGACATTTTCATAGCTCTGCGGCGTTTCTGTTCAAGAAATTCAAAATCTTAAAAGCACATGCAGCTGAAGCTGCCTCTGGGGTCAAGGATGTCTCTCTCCCAAAAAATTCTGGCCCACAAGTTACTCAGCAAAATAACTCCTTGGTTGGGTCCAGCCTTCCCCAGACTGTGACTCCATCCAAAACTCTGATCTTGCAGATCCAGTGCTTGAATGCTAAACTGCCCAATGCTTCAACATCCTTGCCTCCCAGTGCCCCTCCTGGCTCTCCTGCCCTTAGAGAGACCCCACCATTGGATCCCACCATTGAAAAACATCTTGGTCAGCAGAAATCACCCAGGCAGTATTTCACTGCGTTGCATACCTCTGTCTGCACTATAATTTCTAGTTCGGTGTCTACCTCCTCCCCTGACAAACTCAAGGAATGGTTGGAGATGTCTGAGTCCACTGTGGAACTGCAAGAGAAGACCATCAGTTGCACCAAGCCCAAAAATGGTTCAAAGGTCTCTGAGGGACCCAAGCTCTCCAAGGGCAAAGAGATCTGGCTGGCCTTTAATGATGTAGAGGCACTCCTCAAGAAGTTGCAATCTCAACTGGAGATATTCGTGCTGTATAATAACTGTCCTTTTCCTCATGTGATGCGAGCTGGCGCCACTTTCATCCCTATTCACGTGGTGAAGGAGGAACTCTTCCCCAATCTTTCTGGTGTGTCGGTTGACCACGTCTTGCAGGACCACAAGGTGGAACTGCGTCCTACCACCTTGTCTGAAGAGAAGGCATTGAGGGACTTGGATCTTAAGAGCTGTACTTCTCGGATGTTGAAGCTGCTGGCTTTGAAACAGCTGCCAGACATTTACCTGGACCTCTTGACCCTTCATTGGCACGAGTGTGTCAAGCAGCAGCTTGGTAAGGGCAGACAATTGGCCTTCTTTAGAAACTTAAGAATTGAACTGAATCTATGTTTGCCTTTTTCTCCTTTTTCTCTTCTCTGTCTTGCAAAAAGTATGACTTTCTTGGGCTTTAGTCTCTGCAATTTCCCACTTGCATGGACACAGCTTTGGTTGGTTTTCCCTATAGATGTGGGTAGAAAATTTACAGAGTGGTCAGGGTCAATGCCCAAGACAGAATTCAGTGAACTCTGCAGAGATCGGTGGGATTCTGCTTTCTAAATGGGGAGAGGACCAGGAAAAGGGATCTTAAGAGAGTAGGCTGTGCTTAAACTCGAAAGGGGAGGATGCCCTGAGACTGTTGGCAAAGCAGCCATGGAATTGGGTGCCTGCATTATGGGCACATGGCTCTGATGTACAGAGAGTCCTTGACTTATGACCATTTGTTTAATGGATTCTCAAAGTTACGAGGGCGCTGAAAAAAAGGGACTTACAAGTGATCCGCACATTTATGACCATTGCAGCGTCTGCATGTTCATGTGATCAGAGTGTGGGGGCTTGGCAACCGGCATATATTTACAATGGTTGCAGTGTTCTGGGGTCATGTGATTACCACTTGCAGCCTTTCCAGGGGACTTCTGACGCGCAAAGTCAGTGAGCTGGATCCTCTTAAAGACCATGCCAAAAATTAGGCATGACTCATTTAACAGAATGGTGAGACAAGTTTCTGTTCCACTTGTCATAAGTTGAGGACTACCTGTAATTCAGAGGTGAGGAACCTACTGAGACCTGTAACTTAGCAACATCTTTCTTTCCCTCTGTTGTATCCCGATAGCAGCTGTTTGGCTGGAAACCCTGGGAGTTCTAGTCTTAGTTCAGCTGGAGGGTGCTACATTAGAAAAGCTGGCAGTAGACAGCATTGGGCAAGATGGAACATTAGGTACTGTTGCACACAACACACGCACACCTATGCACACACGCTCACAGTCTCCCCTTCATTAGCTCTGACCAACTGTCCCCCAGCCAGTGTCATTTCAGATGATTCTCGACACCTTTATTTTTTCCAGGTCCAAGTTCACAGGCGCGCCTGCACACCTCCAAGTAGGTATCCGTTCTTTGTGTGGGTGCATCTTGCTCATTGCTGCTGGGTTTAGTTTTGAGTTGTGGAAGGCCTTTGGGCACAAGTTGAGGTGGTAGGCTTCTTGGCAGGTAGCTGTGCTGTGCTGCTCGGGTGCTGCAATGGTATGTGGGAATGGCCTTGGGAGACAGGAGGAAGAGCTGCACACTAGACAATGGACAGAGTAGAAGAGGCAGATTGGCCCACAGAAGGAAGGGAGCCAGGCAAACAGCTCAAAAGAGACCCTCCCTAGATTCTTAGACTGCTAAGATGGGGGGGTGAGATGTTCTTTCAGATTTGCAAGATAAACAGATGTTATCCCTTCGAGGTAGTCCAGACAGGAAGCACCACCCAGGATGACTTGTTCTGTCTTTATTGTAAGGTTACATTAGTGGAATCTTGCAATACTTCAATCTTGTAGACTAAACCAGTTGATGTAATGGCATGTGGAAATGACCTTGGCAGACAGGAGGAAGAGCCACAGACAAGACAGTGGTCAGATAAGAGGCAGCTAGATCCACAGAAGGAATGGAGCCGGGCTAACATCTCAGAAGGGACCCTCCCCTCATTTCTTAAGACTCTAAAAATAAGGGGGAAGAAATGTTACTCTCAGACTTGCAAGATTCTGTTAAAGTAACCTTAAAATAAAGATAGAGCTAGCATTCCCATTTGTGGTCCTTGCTTGGACTATCTCATCAGTCTTGCAACTGCACAGGCCCCCTCCTTTTTTTTCACTTTTACTGTCCCCAAACTAAGGATGCTCCCTTTTGAGTCACTTTCTCCACCCAGCTCCCTCCTTCAGACTCAGATTTTGTTTATCAGACAGTTGTCTGGGCTGTGTCTGTTCATCCTGTTTCCCAAGGTCCTTCTCACATACCGTTACAGGTGCCTTTTGTGGGAGATACAAGGCCTTGGAGGTTGGCAGTTATAGCTGGACAGGGCTGAAGGTGCTCCTGAAGGACATTTCAAATGGTGCATAATGCTTCTGCAAATCAAAGCCATGCCTGAGAGCATCTTATAAGCAAATAGTGGGGCTTTATTTTATCTTTTTTTGGTCCTTGACTTCCCTGGGTTAAAAGACATGTGATGTCTTGATTAAGACAACCTTAGAGAATTTGGTGTCGTCTTCAAAACATGTGTTGAGATTATACTTTCCTTTTTTCTGGAAGTCTGGAAACTGTAATTCAAACACATCTGGAGTTCTTGATTTTGTTAAGACACAACTCTGGGATGACGAGATCTTTTGGGATGGGGACATAGCCCAAGAATCTTCTAATCCATCATCTGAAATGAATCAAGTATTAGAAGTTGTCCAGTGGGATCCATTCTCCCTTTAGAACAGAATCAGACTAGTTGGAGAACGGAGGAGATCTGTTGAACCTTTGGAAGAAGAGTTTAGGCTCAAAATTGTGGACAGCATATTTTGAATGAAGATGCTCATCCAGTTGATTGTTCTTGTGCTTTTCATTTTCCCAGGGGATCCTGCGAACTTGATCCCAAACAGTGATATTGAGGCATTAGGAACAGATGCAACCACAGAGTCTCTTGACCAGGACTTCAGAGAGAAGAGTACCAAAGGCAAAACATGTGGATTGGCAGCTTGTTTTGGGACTACGTCCTCGCATTGCAAGACTCCCCAACCAGAAGATAAAGAAACAATTGCCAGATGTTCCTCACCTTCCCTCCAACATGGTTGTGTGCTAAAGGGGATGAAGGTGCTTCCTAAGGAAGACTCAGCCTTGGAGACCAAGGGACTCACTCTTTGCTCTGGTGCTAGGAGACCATCCCATAAACAGCCAAGGACTCTTGAGCTTAAATTGACTGCTAAGGTTGCTAGGAGGACAACCAGGGCCTCCAAGATCCTTCACCTCCGAAAATCTGTGGTTCACATCCAATTCCAGAACGCTCTTCAGGACATTGAGGGACCTCAGGTTCTTGGTCCTTCAAGGAAGAGGAAGAAAGTCCCACCACCGCTCCTCCTAAAGCATTTCAAGCGGCGGACATGCAGTCGTGTCAAGGTTTCTTCCGTGCCCTCTGAGTACCCAGAACTTGTTGGCAAGAGGATCAGGCACTTGTATGAGGAGAAGGACAAGACCGAGGCCTGGTATCAGGGCGTGGTGCTTCGGGTTCACAAACCCCACAAAAACCCTTTGAAGACGGTTTATGAGGTGAAATACGATAGTGAGCCAGAGTGGCAATATTACCTTGAGATTCTGCAGGATTATAAGAAAGGTTGGGTGGAGCTGGATGAATGAGCGGATGGGTGTTTGTGTGTGTGTCAAATTGAGAGAGAGAGAGGGGGGGGGCGATTTGATTCATCCGGCGGCCGGATTGGAACACAGCTGAACGTTATCAACAGGCTTCAAGATTAAACCTGTTTCCCTACATCTGGCGGAGCTTCATCACGACACACGTTGGCTTAAAGTGACTTGGACCTGATTCAGAGAGTCATCTTGTGGTACTCAACACCTCAGGGCTCCATCACACTTCCAGAAACCACACACAGAGTAGTTTTCAGGGTTTGTTTGAACAATGTTTTGAACGACTTCCTATTGTCCCGACTGACACCAGAAGTGAAATATGAATCTCACTCTACATTTTACAGAACTTCTACATGGGTGGTGGGCCTCTCAGGACATCCCAAGAAATTTCCCTGGTGGGCCCATCCTCTGTCTGGAATTCTGGCTTGTTAACAGATGGTTGTGAGTTGGTCAAATTCCTAGAGCGTCTTAGAATGATGCTTGTCCGAGGGCATTATGGGAAAGCCATAATTGGCATTACAAAGCAAGGCAGTTGTTTAATTGAGTCATGTCTGATGTTTACCACCTCTGGTTCATCATGGATGTTAAATGAGTCACTGCAAATGTTAAGTCAATCCAGCTTCCCCCCCGTTGACTTTGCTGGCTAAGAAGGCTGGATTCACTTGATGACGCTATGATTCGTTTAAGAAGTGCCATGCTTTGCTTAACTGAGGCAAAAAAAGGTCATTTAAGAACCCCGAGGATTACCTGTGTAGGCCTTTTTTTTTTAAAGAAAAATTCAACTTGAGGAATTTTTCAGTCCTTAAGTCAGGGGTTGGCAACCTTGGCTCTTTTATGACTCGTGGACTTCAACTCCCAGAATTCCTGAGCCAGCCATGCTGAGGGGAAAGGGAGAGGTTTCCAAGCTGAGCCATGCTGGCTCAGGAATTCTGGGAGTTGAAGTCCACGAGTCATAAAAGAGCCAAGAGCCCTGCCTTAAGTCCACTCCCCACTTGATGAAATGCAGTTCAAAGAAAACAAACACTTTTGCCCGTATTTATAAAAAAAAGAACCTGTATTTTTAAAACATGACATGACCAGCTTCGTACATTTAAACCGTGAAACAAACAAACAAACAAAAACCAGACACACACCTGTGTGCTTCAGTTTGACTTTTGAAGGGCTGTGCTGTTTCCCCAACCCGAGGGGCATAAATATGGCACATTTTAGAAATGTGATTTATTTTGCCTTTATAAGGAATTGCTGCTGGTTTCAAGGGTGTGTTGACTTTCTTTTTCAGTTAATTTTTTTAAGACTTCCTGTTTGAGACTTTTTGTCCATGACTTTTGTAAAGGTAACTTTCAATACTGGGTAGCAGATTTTCAGTTTACATGACTTTTTTTGGGGGGGGGGGGAAGCTCCGAGTGCTTACCATGTCTTAAAAAGGAATGGGAAGGATAAAACTTGGATAGGTCAAGCTCCTTGGCAGCCCCGCAGGTCAAAAAAAAACACCAGTTCATTTCTGAGAAATGAAGTGTGGAGAATTAAAAACGAAGGGCAGGGAAGAAGAAGAAAAAAATTGAAATATTTCTCAAAGCAGCCTCAGGTTAGTTTCTAAAAAGCTGAAATGAGCTGGGGACAAGTTTTGGAAGATAGTTCTCTCTTGTTTGCACCGTTTTGAACATCAGGTGATGAACGTGTCCATTCCACCAGTTGTGGCCAAATTTACCAAGAGAATAAAATCGGTGCTAAGTTAGAAACCTGAGAAGGCCTCATTTTCATTTTGAACGTAGAGACGGTGCAGTTTGGATCCTTTCTGCTCCGAGGATGTTGCGTCTTTCTACTGCTTGTTTCAAAGTTGTGTGTGTGTCTCTCTTGAGCACACAAGTCAGATGGGGATGGGGTGAGGAGCCCGCCGGTCCTTCCCTTTCTCGCCCCCTCCTTCCAGATGGGAAAGCAAAATTAAGACAAATTGTACGGTGCTGCCAAAGAGAAATAAATGCATAATATCTGTAAATGCTGTACATAAACCGGGAGCCTATTTTTTTTTTGCCTTTTTATTTAATTTTTTTTTGTTTGTTTCTTTTGGTCAGGATGCAGTTTTTAAGAGGTGCTTCATTAAAATTAAGACCGCTGTTTTTGGAAGTGGTGACTTTGTGACTTCTCTTCCTGTCTCCCGTCCACTGTTCTCTCGGAAGCAAAGCTCAGTGGTCAAGGGCCGGTCGTTTTGAGAAACCTGTCAAAGGTGCTACGAAAGTAGAGAGGAAGGTTTCTGGGTCCTCTTGTGGGTAACGTCTCCATCTTCTGACCTTTGGAAATTAAAATGCTCCTTCAGCAGGTCCCCCTGAATTCACAGAAGTGACTTCACAAAAGCCACTCCCTCTGGAAAAGGTTACCTCTGAAGTGATCAAGGAAACAAAGCTAATGGTAATCATTTGATTCCTTTATTTATAGCCTGCCTTGATTTGTTTTTTATAAACAACTCGAGGTGGGTGAACATACTTAATATTCCTTCCTCCTCCTATTTTTCCTCACAACAATCCTGTGAGGTTGGTTGGACTGAGAGAGAGAGTGACTGGCCCAAAGTCACCCAGCTGGCTTTCATTCCTAGGGTGGGACTAGAATTCACCGTCTCCTGGTGATTGGCCCAAAGTTACCCAGCTGGCTTCCATGCCTAAGGCGGGACTAGAACTCACGGTCTCCTGGTGATTAGCCCAAAGTCACCCAACTGGCTTTCATACCTAAGGCAGGACTAGAACTCACCATCTCCTGGTGATTGGTCCAAAGTCACCCAGCCAGTTTTCATGCCTAAGGCAGGACTAGAACTCATGAGTCTCCTGGTTTCTAATGCCTTAACCACTATGTTATACTGGCCCTACTGCTAAAAATGTTTTAACAGTGGAACAAGCTTCCTTGAAGGATGTTCTCACCTTGGCTGGAGGTCTTTAAATGGGACCTTGTAGAGTCTTTCTGCACTGGACAAGGAGGCAGAACTCTGTGACATCCAAGATCTCTTCCAATCTATAACTTATGGACTAAATTGACCTTTGATAAGAATTGTTATCATCACTTCTTGTGTTCCTTATTAATGGATGGATGGGTGGATGGACATAGGAAGAGATGGCTAACCAGCCAGTTCGGTCTAGTAGTGAAGGCACCAAGCTAGAAATCAGGAGATGGTGAGTTCTAGTCTCTTCTTAGGCATGAACATTGGCTGGGTGACTGGGCCAATCATCAGGACATTGTGCGTTCTAGTCCCACTTTAGCCATGAAACCAGCTGGGTGATTTGGGGCCAATCACCAGGCGACAGTGAGTTCTAGTCCTGCCTTAGAAGGAAAGCTGGCTGGGTGGCTGGACCAGTCCCTCTTTCTCTCTGCCCAACCTCACAAGGTTATTGTGATGAAAACAGGAGGAGGAAGAAGTATTAGGTATGTTTATAAAAGTAATAAAAAATAATAAAGGTGGGATATGAATAAATAAATCATAAAATATTTACCAAATGCCTCCAAAGAGTAGCTATGTTGGCCTATTGCAGCGAAAGCCCATCTTATGAGCCCGTGACAGCTTTAAACACTTAATGGTGGGTTACAGGCCACATCTTCATATACATATGCTATTATTGTGAGTGTAGTTGTATTCTGGGCCTGGGCCTGGCCAGGAGGAGAGGAACAGAGGAGAAGAAGAATAAATGATGAAGTCAAAGGGAAACTTAGGAGATACAATCAGTAGAGCTTAATAGCCATTCACAAAAGATTTATGCCCCTGCTAGGGAATTGCTTGCAGCTATTAACATGTCCATTACAATAAGAACTTTGTCTCTGCTTAATTCCAAACAAGACAATTAAGCATTTAGGTGAATTCCGGGTAATTATTTTTTTTAAAATCCATTTGCTTAAGCACAGAAACAAACCCAGAACTCATACAAAGCCTTTTAAGAGGAACTTTCTTTTCTTCCAAATTCATCCCTCCAGTCTTTTAAATTCCTTTAGATTGATTCTCATCAACTCACAATCTTTGTTAAACTTTTTTGAGTTTCTTTTTTTAATGGTTCCCAAAAAGACATTCCAGGATCTACTTGATGTATTTCCCTTTGCTTTCTTCTGAACTGCTGGATGTCTTAGCTGGCCCTATATAAGAGTGACAAAAATTTGGATAACTTCTTTTAAATGGGGTTTGGGATTCTTTGTCTCTCCGAGTTTTAATGTTTCTTAACATGTTTCCACTTCTGTTTATTTTTTTTTAATGGAATGATTGTTTTGAATTCTTCAGTCTACTCTAGATTATAGCAGAAAGAGCGTCAACATCGAAACAAATAACAGCAAGCTTCCCTTTTTAATATAATCTTTTAAATTAAGTTTTACCAAGAAGGTAAACATGAACACTAATAGAGAGCAAAAGCAGTAAAGAAAGAAAAGGTGCAGAAAGGAAGAATAAAAAGAAATAAAAGCCAAACAAGAAATCAAAACAGCAAAACCCCTTACCAGAAATCAACACACAGATGAGCAGAGATTAACACCAAGATTAACACTAGATCAGGGGTGTGTGATGTGTCGTGGGCCAGCAGTTTGACACCCCTGCACTAGATCAACAAATGAGAAGTAAACAATACCCCAATCAAGGAACTACCAGCGCAGACAAACTAACAATAAACCACGGCCTAATCAAAGAACCACCAGGATCACACCCACCAACACTGACAAGGCAAACCACTAATATATAAAAAGAAGAGCAAACCTCACCCCGTTCTAGCACTGATAATGTTACCTAGTTTGGTAATGAAACGTCTGCAAGAAAATAACCAAGCTCAAAGTCCGATCCTGAGCTACAAATAATTTTATCAGTATGATGAGGACCCTGCTGGTAAACTGAGTTTAAACCACCATTCACTAATCTTGTCAATTTCTAAGAGTGTGGCTTTCATATCCCAGAATTCCATAGCCAGGATGGTCATTAATGAACATTCTAGGGATTGAAGTCTCCAGACCTGGGAAGTGGCCAAGTTTGAGAAACAATGGTTTAACTTTA